GAGAGAGAGAGAGAGAGAGAGAGAGAGAGAGAGAGAGAGAGAGAGAGAGAAACAGGTTACCTGGCTAAATAAGTGCACCATTTTCTTCAGGCCTTGATTTCGTTTCTGCTCCAGATACTTTTGTTTTTCAGTCCATGCACCCATCACCCTTTTCTGATACTCATCCATTCTGCTCAGCATGATGTAGAGGCACTTGGTCTCATAACCCCTCCCAGTGTTTTGGATGGCTTTTAATCGCTTGATTATGTTGTTTCTTAAAAAAAAATTAACAAGAGTGATTCTGTTACGGTTACTGAGCCTGGCTTGGCAAACCTACCCTTCGGTTTTGCTGTTTGCATGTTACCCTATTAAGTAGAGAAGTAGGAGTGGAAAGTGTGTAGTGTTATCTAATGAGGCTTTATTCTAGTTCTCTTTATGAGTAAACTTCTAATAATCTACTCAATATGAACTCTTTACAGAATTTTAGTGTTACAATAGTGTTGCTTAATTATTATTTTATTAAAAATTCAAATATACTAATTTGTAATAGAAACTATCTTAGGGGACAAAATACCTAATTTTTAAAATACTGTTATGTGTAAGACCCATGGAATTATGAAGAAGACCATCCTTATCTTTGAAACATTTACAACCCACAGTAGATTAATAAATCTAGAAATATAAACATGTGGTATGAGTAAAAACAAAGCATGATTAGTTCTATTATGAATAATAAAGAAGGCTTTATTTAAAAAAAAGTCTTTATAGGAAGTTGTGGAACCAGATATATTTTGTTGTTGTTGCTATTTTGTTTTATTGGCACAGGGTCTGACTATGTAGTTTGGGCTGGCCTTGAACTCTCAATAATCCTCCTGCCTCAGCCTCCCCAGTGCTGGGATTACAAGTGTGCACCACCACGCCTGGCTTTTTTTTTTTTTGGAGATAGGGTCTTGCTATATAGTTGGTCCTGAACTCACTGTGTAGCCCAGGCTGGCCTTGCAAATAGTGATGAGGCCACTGGGTAGCCAGTTTAAAAAAAAAAAAAATGAGGCACATATCTCATAACAGCAAATCATAAATCACAGCCTTAACTGTAAGATGAAAACTAATAACCAAACTTTATTTTATTTTACTTTTTATTCATTTTAATAAAAAAAGATAAAATAGCAATGAAATAGTTTCAAAACAAGCTAGTAGGATAGTTACTATAATTAATTCATTGCATATTGTTGTCTTCATAGTAGTTATTCAGAGGACAAGATGCAGACACGATATTGTCATCTAAGCAATATTAGTACAAACATAACCAAACTTAAAAAAAGCACTAAAAGAAACCTAGAATTAATTAATTAAGACATGGTCACACTATGTAGTTTAGGCTGGTCCTGAACTCAGTGTCACACTGTTGAAGAGCAATGCCCCTCATTCTTTTTTTAAAAAATGTATTTAGTACATGGTCTACAGGGTCTCACTACACAGATCAGACTAGTAGTGACCCTCCTGTTTTCAGTCTCCTAAGCGCCGGAATTACAGGTGTGTGCACCACGCTCAGTCTCAGCATACCCCAGGGATAGGCCAGCACAGCACACCAGGGATCCAACCCTGGTCCCTGCATCTGCCTAAGCAGGTGCTTTAATCTGCTGAGCTATCTGGCCAGCCCCTGAACTCACTATCAAAACTAGCACAAGATATTACCAGACCTTTTCGCTCACTGCCAACATGATAGTTGAAATACAGCATATAACATTTCTTGTTTTATTTTGTATTTCTTTTATCATATATAGTATGATAACTACAGTAACCCAGGCTGGCCTCGAACTCACAAAGATCCCCCTGCCTCAGTCTCCTGGGTGAGATTATAGGCATTGGCTACCACACTTAGCTTAAGGAAGAATTATTAAAATGTGTCTCACAGAGGGACTTTCAATGCATTATTTAAAATATTGGTGTAATTAAAGATACACAAATCAAATTTTTCTACAAAGCAATGTTACAAAAAGAATCAAGACGTCAGAGAAATTTAGCAATTTATATCATACACAAGAGATTAATTTTCCAAATTTTA